TTCCATACTAATAAAAGGGGAAATAGACCAAAAGGAAATAATAATCATCAATCTGTATGCACCCAATGTCAACGCACCCAATTTCATCAAACATACCCTGAAAGACCTAAAAGCATATATAAACGCCAACACAGTGGTTGTGGAGACTTTAACACCCATTATCATCAATAGATAGGTCATCCAAACAAAAAATCAATAAAGAAATCCAAGATCTAAAATATGCAATAGATCAAATGGACCTAGTAGATGTCTACAGAACATTTCATCCAACTCTACACAATATACATTCTTCTCAGCAGCCCATGGAACCTTCTCCAAAATAGATCATATCCTAGGGCACAAAGCAAGCCTCAGCAAATATAAGAAAATAGAAATATACTGCATACTATCTGATCACAATGCAGTAAAAGTAGAACTCAACAACAAAAGTAAAGACAAAAAACATGCAAACAGCTGGAAACTAAATAACTCATTACTTAATGAAGAATGGATCATCGATGCAAATAAAAGAGGAAATTAAAAAGTTCCTGGAAGTCAATGAAAATGAAAACACAACCTACCGGAACCTATGGGACACAGCTAAGGCAGTCTGAGAGGAAAGTTTATAGCCATGAGTGCATATATTAAAAAGATTGAAAGATCCCAAATCAATGACCTAATGATACATCTCAAACTCCTAGAAAAACAAGAACAAGCAAATCCCAAAACAAATAGAAGGAGAGAAATAATAAAAATAAGAGCTGAAATCAATGAAATAGAAACCAAAAAACCATACAAAGAATTAATGAAACAAAAAGTTGGTTCTTTGAAAAATAAACAAGATCGAAGACCCCTGGCAAACCTGACTAAAATGAGGAGAGAAAAAACCCAAATTAGTAGAATCAGGAATGCAAAAGGGGAGATAACAACAAACACCATGGAAGTCCAGGAAATCATCAGAGACTACTTTGAGAACCTATATTCAAATAAATTTGAAAATCTAAAAGAAATGGACAGATTTCTAGATACATATGATCATCCAAAACTGAACCAAGAGGAAATTAATCACCTGAATAGACTATAACACAAAATGAAATTGAAGCAGCAATCAAGAGTCTCCCCAAAAAGAAAAGTCCAGGACCTGATGGATTCTCTGCTGAATTCTATCAGACCTTTAAAGAAGAACTGATACCAACCCTCCTTAAACTGTTCCATGAAATAGAAAGGGAAGGAAAACTGCCAAACACATTTTATGAAGCCAGTATTACACTTATCCCAAAACCAGGCAAAGACACCTCCAAAAAGGAGAACTATAGGCCAATCTCCTTAATGAACATTGATGTAAAAATCCTCAATAAAATAATGGCAAACCGAATTCAGCAACACATCAAAAAGATTATTCACCACGACCAAGTAGGCTTCATCCCAGGGATGCAGGGGTGGTTCAACATACGAAAATCAATAAACGTAATAAACCACATTAACAGAAGCAAAGACAAAAACCACTTGATCATCTCAATAGATGCAGAAAAAGCCTTTGATAAGATCCAACACCATTTCATGATAAAAGCTCTAAGAAAACTAGGAATAGAAGGAAAGTTCCTCAACATTATAAAAGCTATATATGACAAACCTACAGCCAGCATTATACTTAACGGAGAAAAATTAAAACCATTCCCCCTAAAATCAGGAAGCAGACAAGGATGCCCACTATCTCCACTCCTATTCAACATAGTACTGCAATTCCTAGCCAGAGCAATTAGGCAAGAAGAAAGAATAAAAGGAATACAAATAGGTAAAGAAACTGTCAAAATATCCCTATTTGCAGACGACATGATCCTATACCTTAAAGACCCAAAAAACTCTACTCAGAAGCTTCTAGACATCATCAATAGCTATAGCAAGGTAGCAGGATATAAAATCAACATAGAAAAATCATTAGCATTTCTATACACTAACAATGAGCAAACTGGAAAAAGAATGTATGAAACAATTCCATTTACAATAGCCTCAAAAAAATCAAATACCTAGGTGTAAACCTAACAAAAGATGTGAAAGACCTCTACAAGGAAAACTATACACTTCTGAAGAAAGAGATTGAGGAAGACTATAGAAAGTGAGAGATCTCCCATGCTCATGGATTGGTAGAATCAACATAGTAAAAATGTCGATACTCCCAAAGTAATCTACATGTTTAATGCAATTCCCATCAAAATTCCAATGACATTCATTAAAGAGATTGAAAAATCTACTGTGAAATTTATATGGAAACACAAGAGGCCACGAATAGCCAAGGCAATACTCAGTCAAAAGAACAATGCAGGAGGTATCACAATACCTGACTTCAAACTATATTACAAAGCAATAACAATAAAAACAGCATGGTACTGCACAAAAACAGACATGAAGACCAGTGGAACAGAATAGAGGACCCAGATATGAAGCACACAACTATAACAACTTGTCTTTGACAAAGGAGCTAAAAATATACGATGGAGAAATAGCAGCCTCTTCAACAAAAACTGCTGGGAAAACTGGTTAGCAGTCTGCAAAAAACTGAAACTAGATCCATGTATATCACCTATACCAAGATTAACTCAAAATGGATCAAGGATCTTAATATCAGACCCAAACTCTAAGTTGATACAGAAAGAGTAGGAAATACTCTGGAGTTAGTAGGTATAGGTAAGAACTTTCTCAATGAAACCCCAGCAGCACAGCAACTAAGAGATAGCATAGATAAATGGGACCTCATAAAACTAAAAAGCTTCTGTTCATCAAAAGAAATGGTCTCTAAACTGAAGAGAACACCCACAGAGTGGGAGAAAATATTTGCCAATATACATCAGACAAAGGACTGATAACCAGAATATAGGGAACTTAAAAAAAAATTCTCCCAAAACTAATGAACCAATAAAGAAATGGGCAAGTGAACTAAACAGAACTTTCTCAAAAGAAGAAATTCAAATGGCCAGAAAACACATGAAAAAATGCTCACCATCTCTCTAGCAATAAAGGAAATGCAAATTAAAACCACACTAAGATTCCACCTCACCCTGTTAGAATAGCCATCATCAGCAACACCACCAACAACAGGTGTTGGCGAGGATGCGGGGAAAAAGGAACCCTTTACACTGTTGGTGGGAATGTAACTAGTACAACCACTCTGGAAAAAAATTTGGAGGCTACTTAAAAAGCTGGACATCGATCTACCCATTTGATCCAGCAATACCACTCTTGGGGATATACCCAAAAGACTGTTACTCCAGAGGCACCTGCACACCATGTTTATTGCGGCACTATTCACAATAGCCAAGTTATGGAAACAGCCAAGATGCCCACACTGACGAATGGATTAAGAAAATGTGGTATCTATACACAATGGAATTTTATGCAGCCATGAAGAAGAACGAAATGTTATCATTCGCTGGTAAATGGATGGAATTGGAGAACATCATTCTGAGTGAGGTTAGCCTGGCCAAAAGACCAAAAATCGTATGTTCTCCCTCATATGTGGACATTAGATCAAGGGCAAACACAACAAGGGGATTGGACTTTGAGCACATGATAAAAGCGAGAGCACACAAGGGAGGGGTGAGGATAGGTAAGACACCTAAAAAACTAGCTAGCATTTGTTGCCCTTAATGCAGAGAAACTAAAGCAGATACCTTAAAGCAACTGAGGCCAATAGGAAAAGGGGACCAGGAACTAGAGAAAAGGTTAGATCAAAAAGAATTAACCTAGAAGGTAACACCCACGCACAGGAAATCAATGTGAGTCAATGCCCTGTAAGCTATCCCTTATTTCAACCAGCAAAACCCCTTGTTCCTTCCTATTATTGCTTATACTCTCTCTACAACAAAATTAGAGATAAGGGCAAAATAGTTTCTGCTGGGTATTGAGGGGGGGGAGCGGGAGGGGGTGGAGTGGGTGGTAAGGGAGGGGGTGGGGTTAGGGGGGAGAAATGAACCAAGCCTTGTATGCACATATGAATAATAAAAGAAAAATGAAAAAATAAATAAATAAATAAATAAATAAATAAAGCAAAAAGTACTGGAGGCATAAAAAAAAAAAAACACCTAAGAAATAACTCCAATAGCAGGTAAAATATAGTAAGTCATATTAAAAACAAAACTGGTCAAAGCATACGGACAGAAAATTCACAAAGGAGTACACCTGAATCAGGGCCAGCACATTATATACAAGTCTATAGTGTCTTATGAGTGTGCAGTCCCCCAGGGTATGGTTTATACAGTGACCAGGTTCATTGTCTAGTATTATAGAGATTCAGTCCTCACTAGTAAAACAGGACAATATGCTGTTAAAGCAATCAAGATACGCATTTGTTTAAAAATCCACTTGGCAAAATCGGTGACAATTATAAGAAAAAAGAGGTGTAATGCAGCACACCATAACACAAACAATGGAATAGCCATACAGGTAAATAAGTGAGGCAGAAGGTGAACTAGAGGAAATGTATCCTCAAAATATCAGAGTGAGTATCTATGTTAAGAAAACTAATAGAAACTGAGGTTTATGACAAGTGGAGAAAAACAAACAAGAGTCATGGAATAGAATCAAATAATGGGTAATATGGCCATAAACTGAATAGTAGTGACCTCAATTTTTTTTGGCAGCCTAAGATTAAAAGAAAAATATAATTAAAATAACAGATAATTGTAGAAATGTAAATTAATTTAATAGCAAGAAAAGCAGATACCGCAATTGCCTAGAGAGACACGGGGGGGCAAGAGAGGGATTACAAAAAAGGCACAAAGATACTTTGGGGAGTTGTTATCTTGACTGCGGTACAATTTCACAGCTTGTAATAAAATGTAAAAACTTACCAAATCATACACTTTAAACATACATAGTTTATTGTAAGGATATTATACCTCAAAAAAGCTTGTTAAGTTACATTAAAAACCTACCTAGATATTAATCTGAATTATATATTCCATACATAAAAGCCTGTAGCATCTATACAATGTATTTCTATATCTAAATAAGTAATTATTTACCTGTGTTTGTCCCCTCTGAAATAATGCTGATCCATGAAGGGTTTTAAACATATCTACCTCACAACTTATATCCCTAAGTGAAGTCATATCTCGTCCATCACACCTATAATAATAAAGAAATAAGTAGTAATGTTGGAAGTCAGAAAAACCACGTATCTTTTTACCTCCACGACAAAATTCTCAATTCCAGCTTTATATCATAATCCCCTGTAGAACTTTAAAAATTAATAGATTCTTAGGTCTCATCCTAAGTCCCTCTGAATCAGTGTCTGGGGTTGTGACTATACATCAGTTTTGTTAAAAAGCTTTGCAGGTAGTTCTGATGTGTAGTCAGGGATGTAAAGCATGGTTTTACATACAAGACCCAAGAGAGACTTACTACATCCATACAATTCTTTCTTCAATATGTGCCCATTTATAAGATATTTTTGTTCTCTACTTTTCTCTTGAAAACCAGGTCCTTCCTTTGAGCAAGCTGCTACTTTTAAGGCAGCTTGCAGACATAGCATATGCTTCAATTCTGTCAAAAGAGTGTATGTTTACCTTTTGTATTCATTCAAAATAATACTTCTAAAAACTTCCTTCGCAACAACATTGAAGGATTCTATTATTTCATATGGATCGACCTCTGGAAATTTTTCTAAGGAAAAAAGACAAATCACAACAAAAGTTTTCTCTTTGTGGAAGATAGGATTTTTCCAAAGTTCACAATTTCAAATAAATTACTGTGGGAGTAAACCAAGAAAGCTGACTGAATATTTTGTCCTCAGGCAAATAGTAGATAAATATTCTCAGCAAATCAGACATATCAACTGTTAAGTACCTCGAAAGTGTTGTTGGGAACATAGTTTGCTTTTACCAGAACAACCAGTGCTTTGTAATCAGCTCCCTATTCTATCAGCTCTCTACCAGACTAATCTAGCCAACTACATAAAAGGTTTAACCGACAATTTTAAGAGTTGTCAACCTCACTCTTGCCTTGAGAACTTCTAATTTGAAAATTGGGGAACTGTTTTCTTTATATATTACAATTTCCTACTAACCATTTTTTATCAAGCATCAAGCACTTTCATGAGCCAGGCATTTTAAGGTATGTGTGTGTCTTAATGCCTTTAATTTTCCTTATGAGGAAAATTCTGTTATTATTTTCATCCTACAGAAAAAAACCTAAGGCTTAAGGAAGTAAACTGGGGCTCGGAGTAAAGCTCAGTGGTAGAGTATTTGCCTAGCAAGCAGAGCCCTGTGGTTGACTCCCAGTAATGCCAAAAAACAACAACAAAAAAAATCAAACTATCCTGTGATCACACAGCACACAGAAAGTAACTGATACAGCTGTGAACTGAATAAAGCTCTAGCTGCCTCAAAGGCTCGTGCTTTTAAATGTAAAAGTTATTCTGTATCAATTAATTTATGCCAATTTAAGTACACTCTTTCAGGCGTTTGCTTTACTAAATAAAGTAACCTGAAAATAAGTAATGGCTACAGAAAGATAAATTATATCTTCATAATGCTAAAATTTTCTTTTTCTTGTGGGGCTAGGGATTGAATCCTGAGCCTCGCTCATGCTAGGCAAGCACTCTATTACTGAGCTACATTCCCAACTAAGAATAATTTTTAATAATACACTTCAATAGAACTTTTATACTTTAACTAGGTTGCACTTGGAAAGGAAACAATTAGTAACGAAACACTGAAAGTACTACTCTACCAACCTAGAAAGTCATGAAGTTATTCTACTATGTATAATACAAACACAAAAATCACTTTTTTTTTAAATATTTTTTCTCATTCTTAATAAACTTTTTCCATGATAACTGCAAGCAATAGCAGTAATATTAATGCTAACATCAGAGTCTGTATTTTAAAATAAGATAAATACTGAGAAAGGACACTTGTCTATTGAAAAATTAACAAGAGCTACATGTCGAGCTTTCTATATATTCAGTTTGTATTAGATTGATGTTGAACATTAAAAATTTCTGGAGAGCTAAATTGTCTAAAAACCTGTATCTTACAATTCTATACAATATTAAAAATAACAGCATCAGTTAATATTAACCGAACACTATGTGCATGTGGATATATATAATTAACTCATTTAAATCCCACAAATCAGGCATTGGTATTGTAATTTCATGGATCAAATGTTCAAGAATTTTAAAGACTATATTTCAGCTTTTCAAAGGATAGGGCATAAGACTACTCATCTTAGAGGGTAAGAGCGTAAAGCAGAGAAGACAGTAACATTTCTGAGTATTGACTAGGTACCTAATGTATATCAAGTGTTAGCCACATTTGTAGAAATTAATGTAATGGTACTCTGTGATATACCATTATCACAAATTTACTTAAGATAAAAATGAGGAGCAATGGAAACACCATTAAAATATTAAAGACAAAACTATTATTTCCTTTCAACTTTTTAAATTAAAAAAAAATAGAATTCACCTTTTAGTTGTTCCTCTGTATCTAATCTTATTTTGTTAACAGCTTCATCTCTAGAAATCTGAAACAAAATTGAGGTTCAATTGATATATATACAGGACAACATTTCAGATGCCTATTTTAATTAATATTATATAATTAACACATTGAAAGAGCACTTTGATTTTTCTAATGGTGATATTCAAAAGATTAGAACTCATTATTGATTTACAAGAAATATTAAGGGCTTAGTTCATTCAAATATGTATTAATTAAACCAAGTTTGAAGACTTGTGTTAATTATTAACTACTGGAAAAAAAAAAAAAAAGAACAGAGAAGCAAACAGATAAGCTTTTAGTTAGCTTTTTGGTTAGAGATTTTTTTGTGTGTGTGTGTGGGGTGTTCGGGATCACACCCAGGGCCTCAGGCATGCTAAGTGAGTGCTCTACCACTGAGCTAACATCTCCACCCCTCATTAGAAATTTTTAGTAAGAGTAGGACTAACATTCATAAACAAAATTATGTTATGAAAAAAAAGTACTCCCAGAATAGTTATGTAAGACAAACTTCAAGTATACTTACTTTATCGTGTTCATAATCTGTAAAAACTGCATAGAGTCTTTCCATGGAGAGTCTAAGCACAAATAAATGTTAGCATAACAATATTTGAAACATGGGCAGTTTTTATTATAAATGATACAAATATTTAATAGCAATAAGCTAAAAATTTAGTAATCATTTCATAAAGAATAATATTTACATTACTATTTGTCACAGCAAATCTTTTATAACTTAAACAGAACACAAGTTTCTTTCTTTCTACCTCTCAAGGCAAATCACTCACACATGGCACTTATTAGTCTTTTCTTTTCCTTGTTTTTAACTTTCACTTAATTCCACCTTAGATTCATTCATATTTACTAAGTGCCTGCTTATATGCCAGACACTGTTCTATGCGCTGTGCATGCAGTGGTGGTTATATTGACTTCTTTTTGAGAAATTCAATGATCTTAGATATGCAAATATCTTATGCTTTATTCTTACAAAGGAATGATCAGATCATATATGAATAATTTGAATCTTGACTAATAAATGTCTCTCCTTTCATTTGAGTTTCAAACTTAGGCCTTGAAAGAGGGCATAGATGGGTTTATCCTTTTTTAGCCATTAGATATTTATGGCAATGACTTCAAACAGAAAAGTGCTATAATGAAGTAATGCATAGATAGTGCTTCCATGGGAAATTTTTTCCTTACTGTAATTTCCTTAAAGGAAATTAAATGACAATTTAATATTTTCCTTTGTACAGATCTTACTTATGAGCATGTTTCACAATTTCTGGCGAAGGGGTAAATAACTTCTGAGGTGTCCTCTTGGTAACACCGATTTCTCTCACCAACTGCTGGATTCCCTGAATTATTTGTTGGGTATATTTCACTCCCACCTTGATAGCATGACAAAAATCCTGCTGTAAAATGTTTTCTGCAGAGGCTTCCAACATCACTATTTAAAGAAGAAAAAAAAAAAGATGAGCATTTCAAAATTATGGATTGATTTTATTTTGTAGTGATACATCCACCAGATATCATGCTGGGCATGTTGCAAACCTTGACTTTAATATTGATGCTGCTCTATGAAGTAACTACAGCAATTTACTAACTGAAAAAACAATGTAACTTTTAAGTAAAAATAAAATTCAGATGCAGATCAAGTGAACTTTAAATAGTAAGCCAATACTGTCATCAATCTTTGTAATACCATGTCTACATGTTATGGTTCCCCAGAGTATGATACCTGCCTTCTGGAGATAAAACCATTTCCTTGCTTCCCTTGCAAGAAAGGGCATCATCATATGCAACCATTCTGCCAAATGAGATAAAAATGGAAACTGCTGTATGGGGATTTCTGGGAAAGTGCCCTAAAAGGGAGAGTGGCTTATTTAGCTGGTATATGCCTTTTTGCTACTCTCTCTTCATTCTTCCTCCTGTGTGTAAGTCAGATGAGTTGGCCAGAACAGTATGTAAGCATGAAGATGAGGCCACATCTTGAAGGTGACACAGCAGAAAACTAGAAGGAGTTTACATTTATTAAGACGACATGGAGCCACTATCATTGCCCTGGATTAACCACCTCTAAATTTCTTTTATCTAAGATAAAAGTACGTTTCTCACTTGTTTAAGCCTTGCCATTTTGTTTGGCAACACACTCCCCAATTAATACATAGATAGCATACAACTCCTGCTACATATGTTTTAGCATGTAGGACCTAGTTTTAACTCCATTATTGACTAGCATACTAGTAGCTGGAAATGAGGAGCTTTTAACA